CTTTGCCTCCCCAGGTGGACACTGGCATCACGCCTTCACCATCTGTATGGGCTTAAATCTTAGTCCTGAACTTCTCAGACCTCAGTTGCTGTACGTAGTGACAGAAGGGGAAGGAAAGACTTGTAAGTTCTGCTGTGCTGCAGACTCAAGGACCCCGAGATAGAATCTGCCATCTGCAGCCTTCGCCCGGCAGTCGGTGGCCCACCTTTGTGCTCTGTAGTGGTAGCTGTGGGAGTTGTAGTAGATGTAGAAGCTGCTTCACCCACTCCAGAGAATTTTAATCCAAATTCCAATGTTATGCCACCAAGTATTCTAGATGAGGTTGTTGGGGCACCAAAATAAGAGCCCTGTAGCAGCTGTGGAGGTAGAAACATTTGATATTGAAGTAAACAGCATGGTGCTTGAGCGAATAGCAGTAGTGACAGCAGTCAATGCTGGAATCAAACCATTGTGTGGTTTACGGAGCAAATAAGTAAGCTCCTGAGATTGCACAGTAAACAAAGAGGCTGGCAGGCCTCCTGGAGCCTGAAAGAAGTGGTCTCTCAGCCGGGGGAAAGTGAACAGAACTCCTAAAAATTAATTTGCTGCTGGGTGTGGTGGTGCGAACCTGTAAGCCCAGCATGCTAGGAGGCTGAGTCAGGAATATTGAAACTTTATTTATTTATTTATTTTGTGGAACTGGGGATTGAACTCAGACCCTTGCACTTGCCAGGGAAGTGCTTTTTCTACTGAGCCATTTCCCCGGCCCCAATATTGAAACTTTAAGCTCATCCAGGGAAACTTAGTGATTTAGAGAAAACTTGCCTCAAAAAAACAACAAAGCAAAACAAAATGTAAGAACTTGGAATATAGCTCAATGCATATGCCCTGCATTTAATCCCCAGTAATGAAAAAAAAATAATTTATAGCATTTCTGGGGAGGAGGGGGAGGGCTAATTTGAGGTCTTAAAGGAATATATTGTTACTCTATATTCACAACTTATATTTGGCAGAATAAGCTGATCTTTATTTGAAAGCAATATTTAAAATAATTTCCCTGCAACTAAGTTCTGCCTGATGAAAGCAACTATTTTAGAAAAACATGACCTTTTCCAACCTGCTGCCCTGTGAGTCTACCTCCATGAAGGTAGCAATCTTGTTGACTATGAATATACAGGGGGAGAAGGGTAATAAATAAGCAAGAAATGCCTTTGGAAAGAAACATGCTCCCCTGACCCACCACCGTGTGCCCGCAGGAGGCCAAAGCTCCTATTTAGCTACTCTTTCAAACTATCATCTTGCACTGGCACCTTGTTAAAATAATCCGTATGGCAGAAAGAAAAGCCCTTCTGGCTGGCTTTCTTTATCAGTGACGAAGGCCACCAAAGGTCTAGCTTGCAGGCTCCGGCTCAGATCAGTGGCAGCTACCTTATACCCAACCTCACCTGCTTATCTGACTGATCAGCAAAAATTAGACACACTGACCTAGGTGTGCAGTGTGAAAGCAATGTTGCTCATAATCTGAACTTCAGCAAAGTGAAATCTTTTCCATGTTTGGGTATAGGCTCTTTGATGGAACCACCTGCCTTCCAGGTTATATTTAAGGTACAGATTATACCAGATATGATCTGTTTCCATTAGTGGAAGATGCCTGCAAATAGACTATCACTGTGATCTAGGCAAATCCCACAGTGCATTTAACCTGCCCTCTGTTTACTGACTGCTCACCTGATCTTCAATACGTACACCGGCATAATGTCTCAGGCCTGGTGTATTTTTCCCTTTAGGTTCTGTTTGCTGTAATTGCTGGGTCTGTACATCGGTGGTTGCCTGGATACAGGAACATTTTTGGCAGCAAGCCACATCTTCCTTTGATGGATCTTTTAAGGCCTAGTGTACCTTTTGCAAGGAACCTGCCTAAGATCCTTCCTGCTTTCTCACCCTCTTCAAAGATTAAACTGGTCCATTTGCACAAAGCCCACTCCAGCTAAAATCAAGTGAGGTGGGCCATTTATCTAGGCCCTTTACTGGGATGATCTAAACTTCAAATTAAAAAAAAAAAACCCACTCACTTTGAGCTCTGAGCTCAACATATACCCCTTAGCTGAAACCTTGTGTGGACACAATGCTATAGATATATTGATACAGTTAACTTTGCATTGTTGACACATACATGATCACTTTTATTTTGTCTTACAGGGTCCTGAATACCTACTGATGCAACTTTTAGGATATAAACTTCATACAAGGAGCAAGTCTGCTAATTCCCCCTTTGCACAAAGGTCATTAAGATGATATACGTAAATAAATATTTTGATGGCAACCAAAACAGCCCTGAATATCCTTGAAATTCATCCAAAATCTTCTGCCATTCTGGAAATTATGTTAGGATATGATTTTCTTGGCAGTTTTCTAATCTGCAGCTTTCTGGTTTTAGAGATAGCTTTTGGAATGGCAGTGGCACTGAGGGTGCTGAAGTCATTAAAACTTGGAGGGATTAGTGGTCTGTTTCTAATCTCTAGACATACATACTTTTATGAAGAACCAGATTTGGATTTCATTTAGTTGTAGATGTCTACTTTTCCTTTCTGTTCCTTGTTAAGATGTAAGGTAAGGAAGAACAGGCACACAATGAGTAGGAGGCCAGATTCAAACTGATTTTAAGTGTTGCTGGAAGAGTAGTGAGACCTCCTGCCCTGGGCACTGGCATTGCATTTCTAGCCAACACCCTTTCCTGTGGTCCTGAGGGAAGGCTCACACAAACCCACCCACGTAGACAAAACCCATACCTGGGTTTTCCTTAACTTTCCCCTTGGTTAAAAAGGACATTGGGTTCCTTTGCTGTGTCCCTAAATGTAAACAGTGGTTGGAACTCAGAAATGTTTAAATATGAGACATGTGCAAGTCAGCACTCCAAAGTCTGCTTTCCATCACCAACTGGACAGAAGAACTTTCTTGATCTCCAGAAGAATTAAGTGATGTCCAAAGCAATAATTTCCAGGAAGACAATTCCAATCTCGTTTAAATTGCCGAGACATGGGAAACTCATGCCTGTTGGCTGTGTTGACGCCTCTGTCCACTAAGAAAAGCTTGGGCTTTCTGAGATGTTTAGGTTAAAGCTAATGCTATGATAAATGCATTGCTTGATTCCTTTTATTATTTGCTGTACTGGACACTGAATCCAGACACTTTGTGCTGAACTACCTCATCAGCCATTTAAATTATTTTAAAATTTTGTGATGGAGTCTCACATAATCCCCAAATGGCCCAGGCTGGACTAGAATTTGTGATTCTCCTGCCTCAGTCTCCTGGAGTCCAGGAATTATAGATATGTGACACAATGCCTGGCTGCTTCTTCTTCTTCTTCTTCTTCTTCTTCTTCTTCTTCTTCTTCTTCTTCTTCTTCTTCTTCTTCTTCTTCTTCTTCTTCTTCTTCTTCTTTCCCCCCATGGAAGAAGCTATACATAAAAAAGATCCAGTCCCAACACAGGGTCAAGAGCTAATTCCTGGAATTTCCTTCCTCCCTTCTCTGGCCCACCCACCCACTCAGTCCCCTACAGTTCTTACATTTGCAACTGAGGCCTGAACTTCAACTGCAGTTGCCTGTTTCATGCGTTATTTTATAATTTAAGAAGTCAGGTCTTAAAATGGGAAACCCTAGTCGTTTAAGGATTTTTCACTCCTGAATCCACCGGGATACAAGGAATTAAAAAAAAAAAAAATTAACGAACAAATCAGACAAAAAATGTAAAAACTGGACATTAAATGTTTTATTTTGTTCATTCTATACAGCTCGAGAGAACGAAGTTAGAGATAAAATAAAACGCCAGTTTAATTCGGCTACTATGGACACCCAAATACTGTGGACATAAAAAACAAAGCAAACTGCTGAAAGAGCACAAAATAACCTTGGGTAATTTGCTAACGCCGCTGTCACAAATCAGGCCGCTCACAAGGACACTTGAGCTGCAAAGCTGCGACTAGAAACGCTCGCGGGTGCGCTGGTACAGGACCCCGAAAGTGCGCGGAGGAACTGCGAAAAAGCGCAGTCCGAGGCCACCACTGCAGCTGGACGCGCTGGCGCTGTTTGGGTTCTGGCTGCTCCCCCTCCGCATCTTCTAATGAGGTTAATTAGAGAGCTTCGCAAGAACGGCGACAGTGAAATGTCTTGTTACCTATTTGAGTAAATCTGGAAATCTGATAGCGTGAACGGTGCTTGCTTTTTGTTTTGACATAAGCTCAAAGTTTGACTTAGGCTGCCTGTAAGAAGGGGAGACGAAAAGTGATTCTGAGTCCTAACCTGTCTCGGTAAGACCCCAGGATTGATGCTTAAAAATAGCATTCTAACCTCCTGGCTACAAAAGCAGACCGAATTTCCAATCCTGCATACCCAGCTACCCTGGAACTGTCATTGCCCGCATCTGCAGCACCGAGACGCCCCATGCGGGGCCGCTGAGGGTCGGTGCATCTACGGCGATCCTGACGGTCTGCACCGAATAACTGGTCTTTCTCGGTCTCCTGGGGTCTGGCAGCCTCCTTTGACAGAACCTGGCCCTGGCCAGTGGGGACAGGTTGAGAGCCGCCGCCTGGAGGGGACACTCCCAGGAGGTCGCGCTCAGGGATGGCCTCTCGCCTCACCCCGGGCGATCCGAAGCCACAGCACCGCCTTCTAAAATCCATGCCAGCCCCGCGAAGCTCACACCTCCAGGGACGGGGACAGCGATGCGCTGGGTGAGAGCGGAAGGTGCGCTTGCTTTCTGTCCTAAGCAGGAGAAATCGACCTGGAGCGCAAACAGCTCCCATGCGTCAAGGAACATCCGCTGCTTGGGTCACCTTCATTTCCCAGGGCTGCGGGTAGGGAACGAGGCGCCCCATAATCCCTTCCTCTGATCCAGAAATGGTTCCAAACGCCCCCCTTACTCGGGATCGCTCTCCCCGGATTTAGGGCGCAGGGGAGCGAAGAAACTGGGCGGCGGAAGACCAGTCCGAGATGGCGCTCCTTCCCGGGCCCAGGACGGCCCTCACTTGGAGAACTGAGCCTGCACCGCGGCCAGGCCCAGGCCTGCGGGGACTAGGTGCGGGAACTTGCACACGGCGCAAGTGCAGAGGCCGGGGCCCGCCGCCGCACCACCCGGGAGCGCGAACTGGCCACAGGGTGGCTCATCGAGCGCCAGCGACAGGTACTTTGCCGGGCGCAGCGCGTCGGGGGGCCCCATAGCCCCGGGGGCCAGGAGCACTGAGCCCGGAGCAGCGGCTAGCAAGGGCAGGCCAGCAAGCAGCAGGCGCGGCGCCGCGGGCCCTGCGCCCTCGCCGAGCGCGCGGCGCAGCTCCTGCAGTGAGCTGCCCAGCAGCAGGATGTAGTTGCGGGCGAGAAGCAGCGTGGCGATCTTGGAGAGCTTGCGACCGGGTGCGCCCTGGCAGTGTGCGGCCGAGTAGGGCAGGATGACCTCGCGCAGCGCGTCCATGGCCAGGTTCAGGTCCTGCATGCGCTTCCGTTCGCGGCTGTTGATCTTGCGCCGCAGTTGCTGCTGTTGCTCCTCTTTGGCGTCTGCTCCGGCGCTCGCGTGCGCGCCGGACCCAGCGCGGGTGCCGGGCGGTTCGGCGGGAGCCTCGGGCTTCTCGCGCGCAGCTTTGGGGAGGAGGAGGGGTGCCGTGGTGCAAGAGGAGGAAGTGGAGGAGGAAGAGGAGGAAGAGGAAGGCGGCTGCCGGTAGCCCACCAGCTCGTACAGGGAGGCCCCGAGCTGTACTTCTCCCGGCCGCTGTGGCCGCAGCATGGTTACCGGGGCCGCGTTCACGCGCGCCTGGGAAACCGCATAGTACATCTGGGAGGCGGTGGGGGCAGCCTCGGGCGCCCTTCAGGAACGCCCCGGGGTGGGCCGGTCGGCAGGGCGCCCCTCCCCGTGGACCTGCGCGCGGGCAGCGGATGGCGGGGCAGCTGCCCGCGCCCGACCCCTTTAAACCCGGCTTGGGAACCTGCGGAGACAGCAGTTGGCGGGTGGCAGCCAATCGAGGCCCTAGGCCCCGCGCAGGCGTGTGTTCATTGGCCGCCTATGCTCAGCCGGCGCGGAGGTGCGGCTGGCAGCGCTTGAAGAGGTTATTGTGAGCGCCGGTGTTGCAGGGCTGAGCCCCAGGGAGCCGAATGCTGGGTGCCTTGGGATGCGCGCGACAGGGCTGGTCAAGAAGGTCTGGTTCCACCCATCAAGTTAAAACACGCTTCCCTCCCTCTAGTTGCTTCCCTCTGCCTTTACTAATTTTTTCTTTCTTTCTTACTTTCTTTGTACGTACACATTTAAAAAATCACGGTCAGATATTCATAACATCAAATTTATCATCTTACTCTTCTCTAAGAGAACAGTTCCCGAGTGGTGACTACTGTACATTCAGATTGTTGTGTATCTAGTTTCCAGAACGCCTCATCTTTCAGGAAAGAAACTCTACAGCCATTAAGCAATTCCACACTCTCCTGCTCCAACTCCTGGCAACCACTGTTCTGTGTTCTGCGCGCATGAATTTGTTCTGCTCTGGGCATCTCCTATAAGTAGGATCATGCAGTGCTTGTCGATTAGTGACTGGCTAACTTCACTTGGCATAGTGTCTGTAACTTTCTGCCATGTGGTAGCCTGCATCCAAATTTTCTTTCTTTTTAAGGCCAAGTAATAGATTCTTTTCTGTGTGTCTCCTTTCCTTAGCCATTCATTCGTGGGTGGACACTTTGGTAGCTTCCACTTTTTGGTTCTTGTGAATATGCTTGTATAAGTTTGAGTGTAATGTGGTTTTGAATACCTGATTTTCTCCCAGGTTTGGAGAAGTCAGTTTCTTTCCTTAGCTTTAGAGTGGTTACTCACCACCATTTCCATCTCCCCATGCCTTTTATTAAAGGTTTTTTGTGACTCAGGAGCACTTGGGGTTAGATTACCCCTCCCTTAAAAAAGGGATGTGTGCTCATTTTATCAGTGACTTAACTGTTGCTTAAGCTAACTCACTCAGGAATTGGCCTCTTCTCAGAAACAAAGTGTGCATGCTCAGGGCGGGACAGAGTTTTTCTTTCTCTTCCTCAAATAAAATAGCTAGAATAACTTGATGGCTGTGGAAATTATCTTCCCCTGACACCAGTGCAGGCTACTCAAGCTCATCATCAGAGCATGGCACAATGTCCTGGAGAAGGGGCTTTTGGTTCCTAAACCTCTACCATTCAGTATGGTAGGCACTAGCCACTGTGGCTATTAAATGTAATTTAGTTGTAAAAATTAAGTTAAAACTTAGACCTGTAGTTGCACTGGTATTGTTTTGAGTGTGTGATAGTCACAGGTTGGTAGTTGTTGTCTACAGATATAGGCCATTGCCATCATGACAGAAAGTTCTACAGTCCAGTCCTGATCCAGAGTATAACAGATGGAAAATAAGCCTCCTCTGCTTTGGCGCTCCTTGGTGAAAGATGTTGATGCTGTGGAAGGGATGGCCCACAGGGTCATTGAGTTTTCTACTCTTGGGGCCCATTGGCTGTGCTTGCTGATTTCAGGGCTTCTTTGTCTCATTTTGTTCCACCAGTATTCACTCTATAGGCTCACTCTGGCCTCTGCTTCCAACCCCAGCTCCACTGGTACCATCTTGCCCATGACTCAGGTTCAGCTCTAACACTCTGAGCCTTGGTCATTTCCCATCTTCCTGCAAGAGTCAAGCTTGGAAAACCATTAGTAATATTTCTCCGTAGCCTGGACTATCTTATGTGGATCTTATCCCCACATTCATCTGCGATGGCTTTGATGGCAGCAACCATCTGTTTGTTTCTGCATCTTCCCAAAGCTCAGCACTGTGCTTTGCAACTCCTGTGTGTCTAGAAGGTATCTAAGAATGGGTCTGAAACTATCTGTAGCTCACAGGTTCATCCTTGAAATGCACCAATTTCCAAATGCTCTCATTAAAGAGTTTCCTACAGGTTTTATAGAGAGAAGATGTCTGTATAATGTGGAAGGACTTCTAGAGGGGCCTGGCCTGCTATGATGATAGGAGTCTTGTTTAGATCAAAAGGAGGTTGGCAGAAAGGAGAAAATCCAAGGAAATAGTCTTTTAAGTTTCACGCAGTGGGGCTCAGGACCTCATTATCATTTCATTTCTTGTGGAAGTGATGAGTGTGCTTTCAGCATATGTTTATGGACACTTTTGCATTTGATTGGCATAGGACCCATGTAGCCGGGCATTTTTGATCTCTGTTGTGCATGATAAAACTGAGGCTCCCAGGGCATGGCAGATTGCTGTGTACCTTCAGACAGGAGGAGCAGAGCTGCCCCATTAGTAGCTGGCTTCCTGAATTCCCTCCAGCTGCACTAGGCTTACAGGAGGCCCAGGAGGAGGCCATGATAGGTTATGATGGGTTGCACACTGGGTGCAAGAATGTGATGTTGAGGACAGCCTATGCCCATGCAGCTTGGACAAGCTCATGGGTTTCAGTCATGCTCCTGAAAAGAGCAGCCCCAATATGCTGCCTGCACAAACCCTGCCCCAGCCCCCTCACAGGCCCTACCCTTGTTCTCAGCACCCCTCCATCCTGTTTGCAGCTTAGGTGCTAGACTGGAGTAGGCCCTGGCTTCCTCCAGTGCCCACATCTATTAGGGGCCCAGGGATTTACTTTATCCTGGGAAAAGAAGTATATGAGGAAGACAGCACCTGCATCAGAATTGTGTCACCTGTACCTGCCACATATAGGCAGGAATCAGGAAGCAGAAATGCACAAGCCACTCTTCTAGCAAATATATCCTTTATTGTGGTTCCTCTGAAAGCTCTTTTTAGTTGCTAGCTGACCTCACCACCTCTTTCATCCCTTCATCACCTCTCTTTCCATCAAAGATAGACATACTGGTCAGCATGTATTTAAGTGTTCTGGATGGTGGGGCCCAGAAAGAGCATCCCGGGTGGCCATGATACCCAGCATGGGCACAGGGATTTTGCTCTTGTTGGAGCTGGTGATTTGGTTGTCCCCTTGTGCTGGGCTGGAGCTCCAGCGGCATGCAAAGCGTGACAGCTGGCAAGGGCCAGTGAGTCATTGTGGCCGCTGGCAGGGCCCTGCAGGCAGTCTCACGGGGAGGCAGCTGCTGTGGCCTCCCACATTCAGGACATACTTGGGGAGCAACTTGCATCAGCCCTAACAACCGCTCTTGTCTCTGCCTAAAGGGGCTGTGTGTGTGTTGGTGACAGCTTCCACCCACGGAGGTGTGTGTGTGTGTGTGTGTGTGTGTGTGTGTGTGTGAGGCTTCCTTTCTTGATATAGTAACTTGGGCCTCCAGCCCACTCCCCCTACCCTGCCACCCACCCTGGCTTTGGGTCAAGAGCCTGAAACTTTTGAAATGGTAGACAGTGAGGCCTCCAAGCCTATGTGATATGCCAATGTGCTTTGGAGACGGCACCGTGCATCTGTCTATAGGCACAAAGACAGGCTGTGCCGCTACAAAGCTTGGCCACCATTTGAAGCCACCTGTTGTCACTCAAGATATTTTCCTCACACAGGAGGCCAGCTCAGTGTAAAAGGTTGTCTTTGCTAAAAAGCACTGTTGAAACCGGCTGGAGCTGACATGGGTAATAGAATAATGAAGGTTGCTTTTAAAGTACCATTTTCTTCTAAGAAGGTCAAAATGCTTTGGGAAGTTTAAATTATTCTGCAGGAACTGAAGTTCATGGCATTGCTGTAGAAGTGCAGCTCTGTACACCTTCCCTATACCTGGATCTGCCCTCCCATCCACATGTAAGGGAGGAGGTGAGAGTGAGGGGCCCTGGGCTTTTTACCAGACAGAGGAAAGTAGTAGTAGACAGAAGAAATGGGGAAGAGAAGATGGGTTCTCTTGGATAATTCTTGGATGGGAGGATCTTTAGAGACACTTAGTTTCCTCTTACAAGGGGACCAGCTCAGTAGAATTTCAGTCATCCTTAAAAAAAGAGTTGAGGTTGAACAAAGATTCCATCTGGAAAATATGAAAGAATATGAGTTGTGTTCATTTTCAAAAGAGACTACAAGCCAGGAATGGTGGCAAAGGCTCGGCATCTCAGCACCCCAGGAGGCTCGGGCAGGAGGACTGTAAGCTGAGGCATAGCCTGCTCAACTTAGTGACTTTGAGATACCCTGTCTCAAAAAAGGGGAAAAAAGTACAAGCCACCAAGTTGTTTACCAACAGAAAACAGTGTTCACAGTTATTGTGTTTACCATGTTTTAAGCTGAATAATTGGCACGGTTGTCTTTGTTTCCAATATGGCAGAGCATAGGCAGGAATACAGTGTTCTCTGCTCTGACTACAATACTAAATATTATCAAATATAGTAGGTGTGTTTTCCAAACACTATAAGGAGGGTTATGTTGTTTTAAATAAACATCACTTAGACCTGATTTTAACGATGTTCACTAAGATGATTTCTGAGTCCAAATTTATGGTATAGCATATTATTATTATTGTGGGGGGTAAAATAAAAGCAAACAAAAGGAAATTAGGTGATATTTGAATATTTGATTTAACTGTTGGTGACATAATGAAAAGAGATGAACACTTCCCCTCTAAACTCAGAGTGACTTCATAGAAAAATGTAGAGATTCCCATTGCTCTTATGAACACCCAATATAGAAATTCTGTATTTCATGAGGGATCTATAAAAGTACTCTGTTCTATGCCTCATATTATATTCTTTAAAAGAACCCCAGGTGATTTCTGTGGAATGTTTGATAAAAGGTGAAGACTTTTGGAGATGGCTTCTGCCCCAGTCAGAACTTAAAAGTAGATTGGTAGAATCTGAGGCCAAGAAATGTATATAACTAGCAGAGATCCTCTAGCTGTTTGAGAAGAATAACTATGAATTAAAATTTGTGTAT